TACACTTCTAGCTGATCCTGAATCTAAAATTAAATATATTGGTTTATTGTTTATGGTAGCATTACAATAAACTATTTATAAAAGCCTGTGAAAGTAAAATATGTCGACTAAGATAGGTATCTGTTTAATGAGCTCAAGCCTTCAATATTATAGAGGTAGATTGAGAATTATATGTAGATTTGTCGCTATTTATTAGATATAAGAAAATGCAAAAATCGTGAATATTATAATGAATACAAAGCTCTGTATGTGACTATTCTTTTGAATGAGAATAATGGATTTCTCCCTTCAATTACGAAAGAAAAGGATAATTATTTTATCAACCCAATTCACGCTCTTCAATATCATGATAAACTCAAAATTCTAAAGTATAATAATAGTTGCTTTTTAATTTCGCGAGAATTTTATCAATATTTGTATTGCAACATATGCAAAAAATACTTTTCAACCCTTAAGTTCATGAATAAATATAAGCAAAATATACATTCTGGATATTGCAAAAAGAAGAGAACCCAGAAATAAGTTGGCGAGATAGAAATAGATTGTGTATTTGTTCTGTTAAACCTAAATTTTAATGTTGCTGAAGATATAAATCCAGGAAGAAATTCATGATGAGAGGTTAAACAGATTTCTCGTGAAGTTTAATCAGATGTAGATTGATTTTTACTTGAGAAATTGTGACTTATATGTAATTTTATAATGATTACAATAACGTCATTAAATTTGTTGATTATATATTAATAAATCAATTTTTACCATTTAGATAAAACCCATCAATCAACCATATGAAAGTTTAAATGTGCAATAACATAATATTTGAATAAAAACTTTAATATCCATTTCATCATTTAAAGATCTTAAAAAGATTTTAGAATGAAGTGACAGAATATAATATTATTAATAAATTAGACTCTATAATAATTATATAATATGATAAATAAGATAAAAAGCTAACTAATCATCTCATATTAAATATATCATGTGATCATAACACTTGATATATAAAACTGACCTCCTATCCACCTTTTAAATCAGCTGATTTCTGGCCCTCCCTTATTGAGACAACTATTAAATTACTATGTAAACTTAAAAAAATCATTATTCAAACATTTTGTAATTTAACAGGATTGCACGTTAACAATATCATAGACTGTAAAATATTTAAATTATTTTAACTGAGGTATTTTATAAATATTATAAATAATAAATATTGTGAAATATTTTAAATATAATATTGTATAAACTTTATGGATTATAAATTTGTAAAATACTATATCAAAAATATAAATTTTACTAACTTTATAACATAATACTTACATAAGTTTATAATTGCAAATCTTTACATAATACTTTGCATTAAAAATATTCCTAATGGAATATAAAAATAATATTTTTTAAAAAAAATGATAAATCTGATTAAGAATAATAGAGCAGATATAACTTTTTTTATGTTTTATAATTATCATGATTAAAAGAACAAAATGTATCAATATTCTAATAATAAGATTATTTTTCTTTTAAGAATTTTTGCTTTTTTGAATAATAGTATATTTTATTCTACTTTCTTTTTCAAATATTTATTCTTCTTAGTCAATTTTATAAGTAATCCTTTTTTTTTCTTAAATAAGCTTCAAGTGTCTGAGTATTATTTATTTTAAAAATATAAGGAGCAATTTTTTTACATTATTTCTTCAAAAATACTTTTTAATGGAACTATAATTCTTGGATTTCATATTAGATCTGATATAAATGAATTTCATATTAATTATTTTTATATAGGAAATATTATAAAACTGTTAATTATGATCACATTACAAATGACTAAATTTTGATCCCGGAAAATTTTGATGATACAAATGTTTCATTTTGTCTAGCATGTCCTAAATGGTAATTTATAAAAATTAATTATAGTATATTTTTGAATAATATATAAATTAAATACTTGAAAAAGATTCGATCTTTTTAAATTTAATTAATTTATTTTAAATCATACAAAAAAAATCAACAATCGATAACTGTTATTATGAGCATAATAGAGAACGTGTCCGCCCACACAATGACGAAATCGAATGCCAGGAAAGGGAATCACGTGACACAAACATTTCACACATCTGAAACATAATAACGTAACACATTTTAATGCTTATAAAACTTTACAACCAATTTGCGTAACTATAGGTATGTAATATTCAGCTGAAAATCAGCTAAACAAGCATGAATACTTTTTTGCTGCGGAAGGAACCATCCTGTTTGAAAAAGATTACAATATTACTAATCTTTATTAATTGATCTGTTAAAATGAATGTCCGTGCATTTTTTTCCATTTTATTTTTTTATCAAAGAAAAAAAAAAAAAAAAATTAAATAAAAAATAATAATGTAATGTAATATTAAAGGTTTGAATCATGTTCTTTACGTTAAGTTAAAAACGGACATGTGTCAAAAAATCTTTTTTGGGATGTCAACAAATATCCGGCGCATGTCATGAAAATTTATATTGATTTTCAAAACCCTTGCTTGTGGGATTTGGGGGTTTTATACAAGAAAGGCAATTCGGGCAATCTTCATAAACTCGTAAGCTTAATTTTAATATCAATAAACATTCAATAAAATTTTTTTGAACAAGTTTTAATATAAATCTTGTATTGATACTTGTTAGTCATGATGAGATTTTTACTGATCTTTACCAGGACCGACCCGAAAATAATGATCCGGAATGGGGTTGATTTTACAAAGATCGCGTCGCGTTGATCGGATTTAATTGGGCAAAAAAATGATGGGGGAGGGGTAACACTTTTTTAAACATCCAATTAATTTAAGGAAGACTGCGGAGGATTCCCGTAACTTACCAGCAATTCAAGAAAATTAATTCCGACGCATGGGAAGCAGATTTCCGATTGGGAACCCAAGCATAACTTTGCATCACTCAGCCAATTAACCGCAGCGCAAAGACATAAACAGAGAATTCATTATAATAATCCATTTACATTGTCTTCTTGGTCTTTTTCATTACGCCTTGTTTATTACTTTCTAATTTACTGTATCTACAACTTTATTCGTCAGTTAAAATAAACACAATCAGGAGGATAATGGAACAACCATGCACATATATTCATTATTTTTATTATGGAAAGGAAATGATGAAAAAAAAAAAAAAACTTTGTTGCCATCCGATTGGTCTGCCGTTTTTATTTATTCTTTTCTTAATAAAAAATAATACAATATGACTAAATTGGGTAAGAATGGGTTGCAACCTTGAGTTGTTTTTCACCTGAGAACATGCGAACCTGAACAAAAAAGTAAACCTTTCACAAGATAATCGCATTAAAGGAAGAGCTAACCCGTAAATTTTTTTTTTTTCATTCATCCATATCAAGTAAAATTCAACATTTATCCCAAAATCTCACCCGATGTGTTGGTAATAATAATATCATGAAACATCATACGTTTTTGTCTCGCTTTCCTCCCTTTTATCCCAATAGGTTTTCATAATCGGTCTTCCACAATCCCACGCATCGCACACGCACGGGAATGACGCGCCTCGCTCTGTAGTTTTTGTGTTTATTGTTTCGTCCCTTTACCTCACAACCTTCCCCGCTTTCAATGCCATTTCATTTCTTTTTATTGATGCACGTTGTTGTTGTTACATATTTCTCCTAACACGCATTACGCAGATGATAATGTAGGTGACTGCGGTACATTATTTTCATTCACTAGATTAAGATTAAGATTGGTGATAAACTATATTGTTTAAAAAAAGAAAAATAATACCTCTTAAACATTGATACACTAATCCCGACTCGTAAACACACAGACTTACTGTAATTCCATAACTGAAACGTACGTAATCTGCTTTATCTGCCTTGTGGCTGACAACTTGCTTGTTTGTGACTACTTACAGAGTTACAAACGCCCGAACAACATTTACTACCCGACCATCACCAGCTTTTAATTTATTGATACTTACTACAAAAAGTTATTTTTATATGGTTGTACTCTAAACTTTAAAGTTTTAGCTTGTCATTCGGCATGTGCTTCTTTTTTTGTCTTCCTTTTGATGAGGTCACCTAATCCGAAACGAGATCTGAATTTCAATTGGGAATTTTTTTTTTTCTTTTTTCTTTTTTTCTTTTTTTCTTTTTTTTTTTTTTTTTCCTTACTATACAATGAATTGATATTATATTATTTTTTTTATATATTGATTTTATTTAGGTGGTACTTATTCAAAAAGTGATATTGGGTATCTATTATGACCGTTTGAGATCATGCTGTTGTGAACACGATGAGGCGATTATTTCCATTCTTTACGTAGAAATCACGCCTCTCTGACCAAATTGGGATCTTCCTTAGTTCAGATTTCCATTCTATTGTAAAAACCATTGATATCAAAGACTTTTTTTTTTCCTTCTTTTTTAACCCCCCCATCCCTGCTGAGTTAAATTTTTTTTTTTTTTTTTTTTTTATAAAAAAAAATTTTTTTCACGTCGTCAAACCGGTTAACCTTACCTTTCTTTGAGGTTTATAATCAGAAAAAATCTTTTGAAATAAAAAAATAAAAAGGGTTCAATTATCAATCATCTCACATATAGAATATAAAAAAAAAACACATATATAACCTTACTCATTTTATCCCCCCCCCCCCTCGTAAATATATTATTATTAATACATACATACACAACAAAATACATACATATATACACATAATAAACACATATATATACACCCCCCAAAAAAACTACTTCGCAAAATTGGCATCTCCAGAAGTGATTTGTTTTTTTTTGAAAAAAGAAGCGCGAGCCGCAAACAGTCCATATACTTGTGTGACAAAAATCATTTTGTAAAAAAAAAAATTTATATATATACGAGAAAAAGGGAAGAAGGAAGAGCCCATTCCACGGTTTTTTTTCTTTTCTTTCGACACTTTCGCTGCGCGAGAAATTAATTTTTCCCACTTACGCTTGAAGTAATTAAAATAATCTATCAAAAACCCGTATTCTTATAATGTCTACCGAGGTCATCATCCCCGGGACTCTGGTTCATTTAAAAGACGACCAGGTCCTTTCAATAATAAAAGAAGACAACTGTTCCATTGATGTCCAAAACAACAAAATCGAGCAAGGAGACCTTGACACACCACCTACCCCTGGCTCACTAAATCCACCACCTCCCTATTCCAAATGGGATGAGCTGAGCATTGAACAATTACTTGAAAAGAGTCGTGAAGTACTCATCGGTCACACAGAATATTTGGCTAATGGTGGTGGTGATGAAAAGGAAAAAAATGGTGAAGTGATTAATAAGGTAAGCCATCCCGTCCGAGTACGTGTGCCATATTTTTATCATTACTTTTTTATGAGGTGGCAATGTTAACTTTTATAGTATAGCCTTGAAATCATTGTTAAAAAAAATCATTTGATTATCATATTTTCTTCATTCACCAAAGTTGGAAGTTGAGACTCGAGAAATTGAACGAAAAAAATTCATACAAAATAACGTAATGGATCGAAGATTCTCGACACAAAATTTTAAAAAATTATTTCGGTTGCGTATTTTCTAACCTTTTCGATTCTCGAAATCTCGTTCGTTACCTTTAGATGACCCAATTAGAATCCCTTGTTTCATCACTGCAAAGCATCTTGAGCGATCAAACCTTCGCCATGCATGATCTAAGGTCACAATTGTCAGAGTACGTGTCTTTTTCTCTCTCTCCCAAAAGTTCCTCACGCACGTGATAACTATATTGATCCCTTGAACTTTGATGATTTATTTATTTAGCATTCAAACCGTTCTCAAGAAGATGCAAGACAAACAAGACACCATGACGAGTGAAGAAGTCATGAAACAAGTGGTCACAATGAAGGTACAAAAATCATTTTCTGGTAAATCATTTGAATGTATAATTTATTTTAACATGTCGACTATATTATTATATAGGCTCTTACCGAAAATATTATGGCATCAAGTGAAATCAAGAAACAACTGGATGCTAGCAACGCTGCAAAGCTTGCTGCGATCAAACAACAACAGTATCAACAGGATCTCGTGGTTGAAAATAAAAAAATTGATGACAAGATCATACAACCTTCCTCAATAGAGGAACTTCATCATCCAACGCATTCATTATCTGCGATCTTATTGGCACCTCCAGGTAGTTTGCCAATTAATCCAAAACCTCGTTCGGTGTCAAGGCAGCCATCCCGGGCTGTTTCTCGTACATCTTCACGTAATCCTTCAAGACCTTCCTCAAGACCTTCCTCAAGACCCGCTTCTCGAACCGTTTCACCTTCTATCACCCCAGTTTCATTGTCACGTACATCGTCAAGGAATAGACTTGAATTACCATCATCAGAATCTTTTAATAAAATTCACACCATCGATGAAAATTGTGAGGATGAAGACGATGACGATGAATCTTTTGGTGGTGACACGCAGTTGGATCGTATGCTTAAAAATATTAGCTCCCTGCTCTCTGAAGCGACAGAAGCTGTTGAACTTCCGGTTAAAGGCCGAGAGAAAGATAAGCGTACGGTTTCAAACGTCAGCGCGTCATCTTTTGATGTCGATGATATCTTTAATATGTTGGATGACATGGATGGGGAGGACGATGAGGACGAGGACGATGAATTCGAATCTCCAATCGAGATGAATAGTCTAAAACCCGAAGATGCAGAATTTGCAAAGGAAGGCAGATGGCCAAAGAAACATAAACGTACAAAGAGTAATAGTAACAAGGACGACTTCTTAAAAAGTTTAAATTCCTTCAGCAATAGCATGACCGGTTTGGAGAATCTCGTTGCGGGTTTAACTGAAGAAATTCCAGAAGATGAAAGTGACGCAATGAATGGAATTCAATACAGAGTTTCGACCAACGACCTTATAAACAATCCAAGTTCGGACGTTCCGGATTTAGATGATTTTACGCAACAATGTCGTCTCCTTACACGTGCACTCATCCTTCCTTTCTTACATGCCACTCACTCCTTTATGTCCGAATCGCTTCAAACCACCAGTAATGTACAGGCACCTAGATCGGTAACGAGTACGACTCGAACTTTTATGAACCTGATGTACTGGACATTTTTATTCACTCTCGGTTCCTTGGTTCTAGACGCGTGGTTATGTGAGGTGGCCGGGCGTCAAGTGATTCGAATGGTTGAATTATTAAAACCTGGTCAGCCTTTCGGTATGATCCCTGGGTATGGTGGTTACGACATGGATCAGCAGGACGGAGGGATTGGGATGTTGGAGGATGGTAAAAAAAAAAACGTCAAATTTCGTACCGGCCCTAAAATGAAGGCCGTAACGTGGAAAGGGGTAGAAAAGGAAGTAGTAGGGAGTAGAAAGGGGTGGTTGAAGGAAGGAGCACAATTCTTGACGAGCGGTCGTTGGGGTATGAGATCGACAGTCGGACGATTTGAAGATGAGGAGTACAGTGAAGAGAGTGACGAATGGGAGATTGTAGATTTTGATGATAGCGACGGCGAGGAGAGCGTATCGGAGGAGGAAGATTCTGAGGAAGATCCCGCCTTATTGCTACGACGGCGGATTACGAATGAACGATTGAGGCGTGCTGGACACGTAAAAAGCACACACGAAAACGATCAAAAGAATGGAGAGGAAATAGCTGTCAACAATGGCACGTTCTCGGTCAAAGAAAAAACAGATTATATACAAGATGAAAGTAAAATATCAACAGAACCACAAGAAAATTGCGAAATGGAAGATATTGTCAATTACATGGATCAAGATGAAGAAGAATTAAAAATACCCGGTTCTTTCCCTACGGCATTCAAATGGACGCCACCGCCAACCACATTGGTCGATATTACAGAGAGTGTGCGACGCGTTCGTAGCGTGGTACTTCGCAAGCCAAAACGTAGTGGACCGTTTGGTGGTAGTGGAGAATTTTGGGTCATGAATACTCGTAAGGTTCGAACATTAAGCAAGAGCAGGGACAATGACGTTCTTAAAAGTTCTAATAAATCTAGCTCTATAAAAAAGAAGAAAATTTCAAAAGCAAGTCCTAATCAAAAAAGAACTTGGGTAAGGCGAAATAGCATATAGAATAATTATAATAATAATAATAATATATCTTGTATATTTTGAACATTTCGGATGGCAGTTGTGCCATTTTTCTTGGAGGGTATCTTGTATATTAACTTTTCTTAAAAAAAAAATGGACAGTTTATTTTCTCTCTCTTCTTGTATAGTACTTTTTTTTTTTTTTTTTTCCTCGTCAGTCTTCCTCACCGATACTATGCGGACTTTTATTCTTTCGTTTCGTTGAGACCTTTCTTACTTCCTACTATTTGTTTTTTTTTTTGCTCTTTTCCACAAGCATCAATCTTCTTTTTATAATATATATATTCGTCTTAAGGATGACACTTGTTTTTATCAATAATTCATTACTTTTTTTCAAAATATACTTATAAAAAATTTTTTTTTTCATATTTTGACTTTATTTTTCGTATATATATATTTTGTTTTATATTTCTTATTTCTTTTTGGTTGAAGTTTTTGGAATTATTTTTTTTTTTTTTTTTTTACGTAAATCTTTTTTGTACTGTATTTTTCAAATATCAAAAAATAAAATTTATCGTAATTATTTTGAACAATAAATTTATGTTAGTACATTTTGTTTTTGCAGAATAAATTTTATAGTAAACGATCAATCAGTTATGAGAATCATTTTAACATTAAATCAAAAATCTTAAAATTAATTTACTTTTATTTTATTAAGAAAATTTATAAATACTTTTTTTTTTAAAAAAAAAACATTTATTAAAAATTTATAAATGTATAGCGATAAAAAAAAAAAAAAAAAAAAAAAAAAAAAAAAAGTCCGAAGAAAAAAAGTGGTGAACGGATATATAATTATTTTTTTTTATTTTTTTTCACGATTCAATTTTTGGTTTTTTTTTTTTTTTTTTTTTTTTTTTTTTTAGAAAAAAAAAAATATATACTACATAAGAATAATAGAATTATTGTCCAAAAATATATTAGTATGTATAGATTAAGTTGAGGATTCACAACTATTTTGAATTCGAATTTCGTCGCGTTCTTGATCATCGAGAGAAATTTTTTTCTACAAGCCAAATTGAACATGTTCCTATTTATTTTAAAAAAAGATAGGAAATCAAACGATTAGTAAAAAAAAAGGTAAGGAAAAAATCTCTCTCTACATACTAAAAAAGAAAAATCATCCGAGGTAAAATTTACCATAGCGACTTGAACCGATGAATCTTCTCGTCCGACCTCCCAGAATTTGTTCACCCTGTTGCCGTTCTCGGAACCACCGATCAATCCAAAAGGATTCATTCGTCCAGGGATAGTGTACCTTCTGGTTGGTAACTTTTTGAATTGAATCGCCTCGGCTATTGACTCGGAAGCACGACGTTGCAAATTTGGTGGATTGTTATTATTGAGAATGCCAAGGACCGGGGAGGTGCTGGTTGGTGTGGTAGGTGTGGTCGAAAATTCATCACTATCGGAAGAATCCGCGGATGTGTCTCGGAAATGATGAGAATTATGTTGTGGAATGCTGGTGCTTGGGGAAGTAGCAGTGCTCTCTTGATCGAAGCTATTGTTTACTATTAAGAATTCCTTTACGTATTGAACATAGGGAATTTTATTGAATGGTGAGGACATGTTTTATTTTTTTTTCCTTGATAAATTTTATTTTTTTTGGATTTTTTTTTGGATTTTTTGAATTTATGAATATTTTGTATTGAAAGAAAGAAAAAGTAGAAAGAGAAAAAAAAAAATATATAGGTATATATACAGAGGATAACCTTTTTCGTTTTTTTTTTTAAAAAAAAAAAAAGGTTATGGTATTAAATAAAGAAATTTTTACAATGAAAAAGACAAAAAGGAAGAAAATACGTGAAAAAAAAAGGGGGACAGATAAGTAGTAAGTATCAAAGAATTAGGAGATATTTTCAAGAATCAACTTTTTGGATTGGAGTTACGCAGCAAAATTGTAAGTTTAAAAGAAAATTTTATTTTTATATATTAATAGTGAAAAAAAATTATAGAGAGAGACGGAGAGGGGGGAAATTAAAAGAAAATACGAGAAAATACGAGAAAATACGAGGAAAAGAAAAAAAAAAAAAGGTTTGATGAAAAATTAAGACTTTTGTGAGGGGGATTTTTTCTTCTTCCCTTTTGTTATACAAATTATAAATAATATTTACAAAAGAAATTAATAATATAATATAATGAAGGTTTACTTTTTTAGCGAGATAAAACCAAAAAAGCGTCCGTCAGTCGTTAAACGATAAAAAAAAAAGAAAAAAAAAAAAAAATTTATATTAGAACAAAGAAAGATATTTATATTTATTTATTTTATATATATAATTTTCCGTCTGCGATTCGAAACTTGGGTTAGGAATATCGAGAGGAAGGTGGGTGAAAAAAAAAAAAAAGAAAAAAAATTCGAGCGGAGAGGATAGGTTTTTATAAGTAATTAATTATTTAGTCGATTTAATATAGAAAAGGCAGTGTCGCAACAGCTGATACATACAGTAAATTCTTGTGGGTGGGAGTAAATTTTTGATTGAAAACATGCTGTGTGTGAGAAATTTTAAATCAAATTTTTTTGGATAATTGGGAGAATTTGTATTAAGAATATAAATGTGATTTTCTAGAATTTTAGAGTAGATGGTCATTCGTGAATTTTGTACCACAAAAATAAATACCTGTAATCAATATTGGGCTTAGCTTTACAACTTTTTGTCTATTTTATTTAAGAAAAAAAATAAAAATGTATTTTTCTCGGGCCGAATTTTTTTTTTCTTTGATTAGGAAGGAACAGTTTTATATTTACATGATGTCAACCATCTCAGGTCGATAAAACTTGACCCTTCTTTGTTGGTTTTACTGACGACAAATGATAAATCCTATTGCAAAATCGCAAAAAAAAAAAATTTTTCTTTCTGTTCACAGACTTTTTTGAAAGCAAAATCTGTGATTAGAATGAAATATAAATAAATAAACAAAAACAAGATGACCTAACTACAATTGCGAAATCAAAGGATTTTTGAGGTATGCCAAATTAACATTGTCATTTCTTTATTTTGTTCACATTTTATTTATTTATTTATTTTTTTTTTTTTTAAATACAACATCTGTTTCATTTGAATAATGAAGAAATAAAACTGCCCCATCTATCCATGGGATTTCCTTTGATGTGATTGAATCTAAATTATCAGATCATTTCAAGTATTGCTAATTTTGGGAAATCTGGTAATAAGGCTTGTTTGGAACATGCGAGTCATGTCAATGTGACGATGTTGTGCAAATGTGAAAGTCGTAAAGGTAACAAGTAATGAACGCAAAACCCTAAGAATCAAGAAAAGTACATTGTATTTATGTTGTGAAACATTACACCCGAATATATTATGACTTGGTGTAAATGCAGTGTGATCAAATTATGCATCCCCTACATAATAAAATTAATATTCGACTGAACGTGGAAATTTTCGAACCTGTAATTATTTGTAATCCCAAGTTTTTCTCCCAACTTAAAAGTTGGGAGAAGAGGAAATCAATTTTTTCTTTCTTTTCATGAATGCCAATTGTTTGGGGTCACTTTCTTCAAAAGCGGTTTGACATGAGGAAATTACTTTTGAATTTGGGAACCTTTAACACTTTCGCGCAAATAATTTGAATTGCCCAAAAGGAAAAAAAAAAATCGGAGGGGGGGGAGGGTCTTGTGAAATTGCACATGTAAATAATGTTGCGCAAAGGGCACCAGGTTGGTAAACAAAATATAAACAGGAATTTCCCCAGTTTGTTATGAAATTTGTTATGAAAAAATTTATAAACAAATAATTAAATCATTGGTACTTTGTTCCATGGTGACAAAAAGTTTTCTTTTGGTGATTCTTTGTCAAGTCACCCGTGGAAATTTTTTTTCATTATAATCACGTTCTACTTCAAAAGTACCTGGTAAAAAAAAAAAAAAAAATTTATTTAATAAAATAAAAAATCCTGTTAAACAACTTGAATCAAAAATAAAGAATGTTCACACACGAGTCTTTCCAAAAACAAATTTGCCCATCGTATTCAAATTAATCCATATTAAAATTAATCCCAATTTCAAAAAGAATTTCTTTGTTAATCTTTTTGATCCATTCTTTTTTTTACTTAATTTGATTACATTTTGATGTGTTCACGCGTCTTATCAGTTAGAAGGACCATTTTCATTTTCTATCGAATGTTTGTGTTTATCCCCGAAAGGGATTAAGGATTAATATATTGCCTTCATTTATGAAATCCGCTTTTACCCTTCTCATCTCATTCAGTGTAGTGATCATTCCTTTTTTTAATGAAAACATTTATTAACAATGTTCCCTTTATAACAAATTTCAACACACATTTTTCAATTAGGGTTTGTTGTTGTTGTGTAAAACGTGTCACAGTTTCAAATAAAATAACCTCTTTTCTTGATAAGTTTGATAAGAAGATAGGATGACACGATAACACGATAACACGACAATAAGACAAAGATATCACGATAACGATAAAATGATAACATCATTTTTCCAAATTTCCCACCTAATTTTATTGAAAAAAAAATCCAGATAACGGAATTTACCATTTGAAGAATGCCTTATCTAAAATACGTGACAGAAAAAAAAAATTCATCATGTGAGAAAAAATTCGAAAAAAAATTTCAAATTAAGGTAAATGAGGGATAAATTCAGTGTGAACCAAAGGTCACAAGGTACCAAAAGCATTAAAAAAAAAAGGTACATTGTTCTTTTAAACATTATTACGCCAATCGCAGTGCCAAATCAATCATAGTCAAATTTATTCATAATTTGAGCAGTGCGAGAGACATTTGGAAAGGTCACTTAACCTTAACTAGGCATTGTAAATACGCCCACTTGAACTAATAAATCGTTAAAGGAATTTTTTTTAAAATAAAGAGGGACAATCTTTAAAAAATTCCATCAAACCTGTTATCACACATCACCTTTTTTATACATGTTTGATTGAAAGGAGAATTCAAAAAACCCTACGCGTATTTGCAAGCTCAACAAGTAGACTAATTTTTGGGCGCGCGAAAATTAAAAATCTTGAGCAGATCGTTTATATTAAAGAAGGTTTAACAATGATTCCTTGTCATCTATTTTGAAATAAAAAAGAACAACAAATATCGTAATTTATGATAATTTCGTAATTTTTGATAATTGCGTAATTCTTTGGTTAATTTAGTTGGAAAGGAATTAAACACAGCCCTTTCCTATTTTTGACAAGTGGGTTAATTTAAAGCATTATGCTTCATATCTATCATTCATCATTTTCGTTCCAAAACACGTGCACGCACGCCAAATCCCATAATATCAAAACTTTATGCAATTATAATAAACTTTCAGGTTCCTCTGCCGATTAATTTGTTTCTTTGTTATCTTTATAAAAAAGATGGACAAATATAATCTATTATGTGTCGAGATTTTTTTCAATTCTATGAAGATGCGTAAAAAAATTTGTCTTTGAGCAAAAGATGAGGGTACTTAGACTTTCAACTAATTTGTTCGACTTTTGAGTTAGAAAGTCACCTGCCTTTATGACAAAAAAAAATTAATATTTTGGGGACTTGTCCGATAATCACGTGCATATCTGTGTCAAAAGAAAAATAAAAACACGACATTTACCGAGATTCTATTTTTGTTTACTGCGCCATCCGTGTGACAGATGACTTAATTTTCGTACAGTTCAGTGTCATAACTTTATTTAACAATGAACTAAAATATTTCCTGAACCCAAAGATAAAAATAATTAAAATGAGTATATTATTTGTTATTTAATTTTTGAAACCCAAGAAAAAACCTGTTATTTTTAAGTTTTTACGCTCCAAAATGGTCCTTTCTATCATCATTGTTTTATTAAATTTATTATTTTTTTTTTGATCGACCACATCGTTTGTCGCCTAAAAGCGATATCGATACACAAGTGTATTAAAAAAGGATTTCATCTTTTAAAAAAGGTAAATTTCTATAAATATTATCAATTTTTGATATTTCACCACCTCAAACATTGTAAATAAAAAGTGGGGGTGGGGAGAATGTATTATAAATTAACGGTAATTATATTATTTACATTAATTATTGAGAAAAAAAAGAATTCTAAAAATAAATAATGTTTGATTAATTCGCATCGAAGCAGGGGGAAAAAAAACAAAACAAAAAAAAAAAAGTCCGTAAAGTCCCCCTTGTAATAATTAAAGTCATACGGAATATCTTCTAATCTCTTCCTCATAAACGATACTATTTCTATTACTATGGCTAATATTAAAGGTCATCTTTTTATTAATGTTATTGTTCTTTTTCCTTCTCAATGATCCAAATAATCCACCTTTTTTGGTTTCTTTATTATTGAGATTTTTAATGTAACAGTAATCGGGTTCGGTTCGTTGCAATGGAAGCGCATTATAAGCACCTAATGGAAAATCGTAAACCGTGTAACTATTAGAATAAACCTGTATCGGAGTTTTATGATATCTATATAGTACATTTGGTGGTCTGGAAATAACATTGTTGGTATTAAGGATTTCTTCTGATGGAGGGGATTGTGAAGATGATGATGATGATGATGGAGTTAACGGTGGTGTTTCCGACTCATATATTGATGTATCTGTAGGAACATGAGTGGTCATCGTTATGCAAAGTTTTGGATTGTTCATTATCTTCTATATAATATGTATCGTATATAAATGAGATTTTTTTTTTCTATTTAAAAAAAAAAAAGGGAATTGAAAAATATCTCTTGGAAAGAAATTTATTTTATTTTATTATTAAAAAAAAAAAAATGAAAATGATGTCTTATATATATACACAAGTCGTATAACATGGACGCCAAACCTAACAATCTATACCAATTTTGAACATTGTCGTTCATAGATCTCTAAAATTAGTTCACGATTTTTAAAATTACATTTTGTGTTCGGCGAAGTTCGTCCATTATCGGGTTAGACTGTTCAAGTTCTAGAAATAAAGTTTCCTTAAAATTTTATTTTTATTACTCCTTAAAAAAGAAAAAGATAAATTGATTTAAAAATCATGTTACACACAATTATTGTTTAAATTTATATATTTTTTTCTCCTTTCTTTCCCGTATAACGTGTTCACACTTTTTTTGCATTCTTTATAATGAAACCACGTCCCAATCTTGATCAATAATGAAATTCCATTATTCCATAATACTCTTGCTACTTATAATCACTCAATTCGCTTTCGCTAAAATTCATCATCATCATCATCATGTTTCTATAAATCACACGACATCAACCCTTACCACCACTAGTCCGACTATTCAGACTATGGTATTAACTCCAAGCGGTTCCCCTACTCCAACTTTGTCACCGACTGCTAAAATTCTATATAATGTGTCGCCTTCATACAACGTTTCCTATGGTGAACCAGGTAAATTTTAAGGCTCCTTTCCAGGAATGGTTTCGCCCGACGCGTATCCCCCTAAAAACCCTTTTTTTTTAAAAAAAAAATATATATATAGCTCCATTCCTAAAAACTCGAAATACATGGCAAAGTGTTTTATATGGAATAATATTCATGACGATTGGATTAATTGAAACCTTCTTTGGTTATAAATTGATTCGAATAACATTGCTCCTCATGGGATTTCTTTTTTGGTGTGAGTAAAAAATATATATAAATAATGATTTTTTTTTGATTTATTTTAACTCTGAAAAAAAATTCCCCCCTCGTCCAAAATAGCAAGTACATCTTTGGTCATCCTACTGATAATGGATAATTCACAAAAATATTTTCGATCCGCTCTATATTATTTTGTGATATGGTTAAGTACCGGTACAATAGGAGGTTTATTATCATTTTGGTGTTGGCATTTAGGGTTAATATTAACATCAGCGTACGGTGGGTTCGCGTTCATCATGACATTTTTAACATTAATTCCAATCTCGATCGATATCATACGTTATTCTTTAATATCATTCTTTATATTATTACCTCCAATCTTGGTTTATAAATATGAAAGAGAATCCATCTACGTCGCCACTTCTGTGGCGGGTTCTTACACCTTCTTTTGTGGTGTAGATGAATTTGCTCATCAAGGTTATAGAGAGATGATTCAATTCATTCGTCATGAGGGAACTTTAAGATTCATCCCTACTATCATCATATATATCATGATCTTACTTTCCGTATTATTGGCTGCCCTCGGTATTACCTTTGAATATAAATGTCATGAGAACCCTTCTTTTAACGTTTGGTGTGGTGATAAGCCGTTAGGTGGTGGTGATGAACTGGTCATTAAACGAAACAAGAATTTCTCGTTTGTTGAGTTTATCAAATTCTTTGTAAATATTAAATTACGTTTAACTTTACTTTTAATTAAAATGAGATTTGTTAAAGTTAATTCAAATAATGAGATCTCTACTGGGCAAGCTGTTGATAGTAGTAATACACCTGATTCACGCGTCATTATTAATGTTGATAATTCTGTAATTTAATCATAATTTATAACTATTTATCTAAATATATAATTAACGTAATGTGTATCACCACCTTTTTATTTTTTTAAAAAAAAAAAAAAAATTGTGCATCGTTCAACAGTGTTAACGCATGAACACGTAAAAATACAAAATATACATTTTTTATTATCTTTATATTGTGTTGTGCTATAAATCAAACGCGACTTTTATATATATATATATTTTTTAAAAAAAAATTCCTTTTTCTTAATATTATTATACATCAAACACTTTCAATAAAAAAAATAATCCAAACAAAAAAAAAAAACAAAACAAACAAACAAGATAAATACATTATAGAATTCTCAATAGTCCTTAAGAAAAACTTTGTAAATATATATAATCTTACAAATATATAACGATCACTCAATGCACTTTTAAATGTATTATAATCCACAAATATATATATATATATTTAATAAAAAACAAAAAAACATAATAATAATATACATATATATATGAATTATTCAGTTGGTAGCTCGAGATCTCATTGCAAAGAATAATCTAATTTTTAAAGTTCAATCAATAGTGGTTCTTCTATCTGATGCGATGGAGATGGAGAATGAATTTGTTGTGAAGATGGAGGAGTTTGATATTGATAGTAATTTTGCTGTGGAGGGGGCGCTTGTTGATGTTGTAATGGTGTTTGATACCTAAATTAAGGTTAAATCATAAAATTTAATATTTCAAGATGATTTAACGTCATTTATTATCTCAATCCATAGCAAACTTACCCGTAATCAACCCCATAATTTGCCTGAGGGGGTACATATGCTGAATTACTACTATTCGATTGTGGAGCATGGACTGAACCAGTACCATTTGTCTGTGGTATAAACCCTTGTTGATTTATATTAACGTTCGATTTATACTCACCTGGATTTCCGACAGCATTAATCTCACTGGAAGCTGGATTAGGTGTATAAGATGTCTGTGTCGGGACATACGAGTATGGTGCATATGATGATGGTGGTGGTGGTTGTTGTGATTGTTGTTGTGATTGTTGTTGTGATTGTTGTGGTGGTGGTTGTTGTGGTTGTTGTGGTGGTTGTGGTTGTTGTGGTTGCTGTTGTGGTGGTTGTGGTGGTGGTTGCTGTTGAATCTGTTGTTGTAAAGGCGGAAGCGAGTGTTGTTGGGTAACAATCGGTGCGCTCTCTGCAGCTTTCTGTTGGGGTGGTATGTATGGCTGTGAGGGAGGTACGGTATGTGCCGAGTAATAAGTTGGTGAAGGTGCCGGTGCTGAAGCAACTGGGTAAGAAGGTGATTGTGTATAAATATTGGAGGTACGAATACTAGGTGTAGCAGGATATGTGGGCCCACCACTTGGAATCATCGATGATGCAGAATGTTGAGACGTAGGATAAGAAGCTAAAGAAGAACGTTTAGCATATGTATTCGACATTCTCTCTTCCATAAGTCGATCGTATATCTTTAAGACTTGTGACAATTTTTCATGCATATCCACGAGATCCTCTGAAAATTTTCAAACAAAAATGATTTAATAGATAAAATCGCGATCAAGAGGTAACTAATTTACAAATGTACTTACGATGTTTTTGTATTGTTTCAGCCAAATTTTTCGTTAATTTTGGTTTCAACTCCCCAATTTTATCATGCAGTGCCTAGAATAATTAATATTAATTTATTATTATGTATTCCGAATTACAAACATTTTTTTTAACTTAAATATACCTGAACTTGTCGATCTCTCATTAAATCTCCTCCACTGTGTTGAATTCTATCGAGTAATTCTGAAAATTGATAAATATTTTCGGTTTCAATTGTCGACAGTTCATAAGCGGCAGAAAGGTCAGATGATTTAGAATCATAAGGATTATAAGTTGAATAATTAGAAGTTGTATTGTATGAAGTCGCGGAACGAGGTTGATTGATCTGCATTTCACGAAGAGAAGCCTCTATTGCTGCTGCAAGATCTTCATCCATCTCTTCCTCCTGGTAAATTAAGTTAAAATTTCGTTAATAAATAAATAAATATATATATATTATACATTACTAGTGCTGAAACATACCTGCTTATTCACAGGTTCTGCCTTCTTTGCAATATTCTGCTGAGCAGGTTGAACATAATTCTTATTATATTCGGCCTCTTTCAACGAAATCTCAATTGCTTTCTTCAATTCTTCATCCTCTTGGTCAATTTGAGCAGTTGTTGAACTAATACTATTATTACTATTATTGTTGTTGTTGACATTATTGCTATAGCCAATACTTTCATTGAAAGATGAATACAGCGTAGGAGGCGCTGTAGGGCTTGATAAACTTTTGGAACTTGAAAAATCAACACTACTAATAAAAAAAAAATAAGATTTAAAAGATGTTTCATATATTGTTTAAAAAAATGCCACTAAAATGGGGTATTACCTTCTAGCCTTAACTTGTCTCTTTACATAACAAGCATCGCATACGCGTACTGGCTCATTTATTCCGATATGTGTTAATGTAGATGTTTTGGATGAACATTCACCACAAAATGTTTGACCACAATTTCGACAATGATGCTATACCACAAGGAAATGAAATAAGTAATAATAATTGTAAATAATGTTATTAAATTAAGTAAATTAAGTCTCGAATTTAGATAGTACCTTGCGATTAAACATCGTGAATGGAGTTCTACATCGTACACATTCATCACTATCAGTCCATTCAGGTGGCTAGCGTAATCAACATAAAATGTTAAACATCGTGACAATGAACTTTGGAAAAAGAATAAGGCTTGTGTAAGAAAGATACTTACCGTTGCGGTATCAATCATAACTGATGATGTTTGATCGACCTTTGGAAATACACAACCTGTAAAAAACTAGTAAGCATCCAAATAGAAGTAATTTTAAAATAATCATGTTTTTAAAGATTACCTTCTACTTTCAACAATCGATATGTTTCTGTGACATACGACAACTCGGGTTTGCTAGCGAAAGCCAATGCCCATGTTTGAATTAAGCCAAGAAGTTTATTTCTAACCTCTGTATTAGCCTTTAGTAACGCGAATCATGAGTTAACTGGTGTATAGTATAAAGCATAAACAAATTGATAGACTTACCGTAGAAGACTTGACAATTGACAGCAAACTATCTACAAATTCACGTGATGCCACTTCAATCAGGAAATGGTTCCCTCCATTCTTCACGCAAGTATCTGTCAGCTAGAGCATAAATTAAATAATAAAGATATACAATAAATACAAAGTTCTATTAAGAGACGACATAAATTGAACAAAATCGCGTAACAATAACAATTAATGTTTGCTTACGCTTAGAGCCAAGAGCTGAACGTTAGGATTAGAATGAGTGATCCTTCTTTTGAGTGCTCTCATCGCATCCTTTGCTAATACTTTTTTACTACGAATTTGATCACTGATATCAAGATATAATATGATATCATCGTGATCTTTAGGAATCAATTCCGAAGTAGCCTTATCTACAGACATACAAAAATGTGCTTAGAAGAAGCGAGAGTTTGAGATATTAAGAATTCAATAGAACTGGGAAGGTAATAACTTTTGGAAAGGGACTTACCGACATCCTCGTCAAAAGGGTTTGCACTAAAAAGTCTCGTAACCATATTATGATTTCTTATTTAAATTTGAAACGTTATAAAAAAAACCTCGAAAAATATCAGATTTCTAATGTTCGGATCTATGAACCTTATATATACGTCGATATTCGTGAATGATGTTGAAATATATTTATTTACAATGGAGAATACAATAGATGAACTGATTAGGTAATTTTATATTACGCCAAAGCCACTCTTAAATAACATAATTACTTGTTACCGCAGTTAACTAGCATTCAAGAACAGCTGACAACCATCCAATAAGAAATGCCAAGTCTATGTTGTGTAAGTTTTCTATATATAATTTCGGAAAATATATTTACCTAAATAGTATTTTTAAGTCAAAGGATATGAGCAAATATTTTTTATTATGATAAATATAGATATAACATTCTCTTCAAATATACAATATATGGTAAAATTCAAATCAATTAAAATTTATCAATTAAAAATCATATAATTTTGGCCAAAATTTTTGTAATTCTGGCCAAATTTATTATGTCGGCCTAAATTTGATAAAATTTGTAAAAATGTAGATCAAGGTAATACTATATTCATGTAATGTAATACTCTTTAATCTAAATAATAAAAATGAATTTTATTGACTCAATTTACAAACTTATCAAGTATTTTTTTACATAATTTTCATTACTTTAAAAGTATCTTAAGTAAAAGTTATTGTATTTTTTTTAATTATGATTAAAATAAATTTGAACTTATTAAGTATTAGTAAAACAAATAATAATATTGATATTTTTTTAATAATATATCAGATAATTGAAAAAGATTTAACAAGTATTTTTGCTGAGATTATAATAAATAAAGCAAAAGAATTACTTGTTTTAAGTTTAAATAGTATAGATAATGAATCTAAAAATTCTGATTTAGAAACTGAATTTACCGTATTAATCTTAACAACTGGAAGTATACTTAAAATAGAAGCAGATAATAAAATTGAAATATCACAAATTACAAATTCTTATTTAACTCTATGTGTATTAATAGATATAGTTAATAAAAATATTTAAAGATGTTATAATACTAAAAATTTATGAAAAGTAGTATAATTAATTAGTATATAGCAACCTAATAATAATGCAATTAGTAAAGAATTAAAAAATTGGTAATATGTCAAGAATATTTTATGTTCAATCAAAATTATTTTCATAAAAAAAACTCTAAACAAAAACAAAAATTATTTATAGTTATTTATATAAAAAATAGTATAAATTTTGTAAACTTAAAATTTATTTTTTTAGTTATGATAAATTTTGTTATAAATGTTCAATTTCTCTTGAAATAAAAATTTGTATTATGTATTAACCATAAATCATATTTTGTATTGCAAATCAATAAACTATTTGTTACTATTATAAAATTATAACAAATATTATAGTATGTACTGTATATTGTAATTACTGTATGCTTCTGAAATTAAATACTTATTTTTTGCTATAGAGATGCTTAATTTAGGATATTAATAAAATTACTAAATTTTCAATATCAGAAACTATGCAAAAATAATAAATACTTTATATTTGTAACATATTTTATTTAGGGATCATATAGAAGGATCTGTTAAAATAAAGTTTTGTAAAAGTGAATATAATTTAGTGATAATTTTAGATGTGTTAGTAGTGAATGATAATAGTATATGATAGTGATAGTGATCATTAATAATGATAAAAGAAATATTAATGGCAATGATTTTTTAAATAATATTGAATTTTATAAAATATTTAATAAATCAGATTTTGATTTAGCATTTATTTTATTTTCAGATGCTAAGAAATATGCTAATACTTATTTTCAGATACTAAAAAAATAAGTTAATATTTATTTTCAAAAAGTACCTATTTTTGGAGGAATATGATATTACAAAAAATATAATAAGTATTTATATATAAAATCAGGAAAAAGAAAAATAGCATTACAATAATATTTTGAGTAAAACTAAAATATATTGACAGGTAAAATTTTAAAATTTGACAAAATTAATTTTACCATCAATCAAAAAATTAAAACTTCTGAAAATTTATAGAACTTTAAGAACTTAAGATCTATATATAAATATATATAAACATGTAGTATCTAATTATATTACACAATATGTTAAATATATGTTTAAAATCTAACCTATTATATCAGGTGAAGATTCTCAAACTTCATCTCAAAAAATTATTTTTATATCAGATAGTATATAACAAAAAACTAAAAGTTCAAGTGGTAAGCCAAAATCGCTTATATAGAAACTTATATTAAACAAAATAACAAAATATTAAAAAGGCATTATAAATAACTTGTAATACTTTTTAGCATAAAAATTCATCTCAAGCTTTAGAAGTATATCTTACTAATAACTATCTTAAAGTTTTAATAGAAATAAAGTATTTATTTTAAATTAATTTGTTACAAAAGCTGAAAACTTTACAAATAATCAAATAAAAATAAAAAAAATGGTTGTAAAACTAAACAGAAAAAAATAATAGATTTTTATAAAAGCTCAAAAAAAAAGTCATAAAATTGATTGTGTATGTGTAAAATCTTTTGCTATATTTGGTATACTTTGACATATAATTAAAAGTCCTTTTTTGTAAAACTTTTAAAAACAATATGTTTAGAATATACACTATCTTTTAAAGAATAACTTTTCAGTAAATTTTTTGACAAAGAAATAACTATTATAAATAAACAGATTATTAAGAAATTATACAATTCTACAAATTTAACATTATGTAAGTATTAGAAATTATTTTATTTTTGCTTTATCATTAATTAATATAAACTCATTTTTTTAAAAAAAAATTTAAATATGTGTTAGATAAACTAATACAACAAATAAATTAATTTAGAATTTTCTCATTCATATATCTTCTTATATAGAATATTTATGGTATTTAAAAAATTTATCAGATGAAAATCATATTGATTTCTTTTTATTAAATGAAATAGAAGAAATAATTATAAAGATTAGAATAGAAAAATTTTCAGCAATAGTAATAGATATAGGATTAAATATTTCAAAATGCTTATAATATAGTTACTAAAAAATATCAAAATATTCTTAATATACATTGTATATCTCATGCAATCAATTTAATTTCTAAGGATATATGTAATATTTCTTTTGCAAATTAAATTTTAAATAAATGTAATATAATTATAACTTTTTTTAAAATAAAATCATCAGAGAAGTAATAATTATGATTTTTTCTTTATTTGATTTTTATTGTAATAAATACTTAAAATTTTATATTTATAGATTCAGTTTTTAAAAAAGAAGCTAAATATTATCAAATTAATAGAGGTAATTTAAAATAATAGGTTAATGTTCAATAACTATAATATTTGATTATATTAATTCTATTAAACATTATAAAAAGTTTTAGAGAAGATAAATATTAAAATTATTATTTATTTATATTTATATATTTGATTTTTATTAACTTTTAAAATTATTTTATTTTATTGGTTATGATCTGATTATACTGATTTTTTTTTATTAGCAATTTTATTAATTTTATATTCTTATGCTTTTTTTGATAATATACATATATTAATATTTACTTTGCACCTTATTAAAACAGCAATTTTAAGATCAGAATTGCAGTTTTACATACTTGCAAACTGTTTTATTAACTTAAAGTTACAATTAATAACTTACTTCAAAATATAGCTTTTTTGAACAGATAATATCCTAGAATAAATTTAGATTATCTTATTATCTACATTATATCTGAATAATATTTGAACAGTTAACTGGATCTATAAATTTACAAATAGATAAATTCTAGGATTATTCAGATTATTCTAGAATAATTATAATGATTAGTATTTATATTGTATAAAATAAAAAACTTTAATTATTTTTTCATATAAATAATACATTTTTTTCATTTAAAAAAAACAAAAAAATAAGATTAAAGAAACAAAGAACTTATTTATAAATATTATTTCTAAATTGTCAACTGAAAAAACTTCAAAGGAAAGTTCATTGTTTGAAAATAATGATAATATTAATTATATTAATATAACTGATGATAATATTTCTGAAAGGAAACAAATATATTTGAAAAATTAGAAAAAAAAACTGATTCATTAAATATTCAAGTTAAAAGTAAAAAAGGCTCAAAATTTCATAGTTGGATATATAATTGAGGTAAAAAAAAAAGTCATCCAACAGATTCAAAAAAAGTTATATTTAAATGCAAACAACCATTAGATAGTGATAAAATTTGTATAGTAAAAATAGAGACATCAGATTCAACTAATAATATTATTAACCATCTTAGACAAAAACATAAAATTTATAAATATTCTATACTTTTAAAGGCTACATCATCTTTAAAATAAATTAAAATTGATCATTATACCATTTAATCAGATTCACTTTTACAAATGATACAAGATTAACAAAAACATTTAAAAATTCTTCTTTTTAAATGGTTCATTCTAGATTTTCAACCACTTTATCTTTTAAAATCTTCTTCTTTTTATAAATTTATTAATATATTAAATAAAAACTTGAACTTCCAACTGATAAAGAATTTCAAAAAAGAATTTTTGAAACATATGAATTTTTCAAAAAAGCATTTAAAGCAATACATTCATAAGAATGTAAATTCAGTTTCACTGATTTATGACTTTTGGATTTCTCATAGTAAGCAAGGGTTTCTTGCTATTACATGTCATTTTATTATATCAAACTTTGAGATAAAAGAAATAACTTTAACTATTCAATATATACTATATCCACATACAGGAAATGTTATTTAAAGTGCATTAAAAAAGTTATTTTTAATTGGGAATTATAAGACAAAGTTTTCTTTTGTATAATAGATAATACTTCTAATATGAAAAAATATTTTAATCAAATTACTTTTTTAAAATGATTATCATATACTGTACATATAATTCAACTGGTTATTAGAAAAGGATTGCTTATTGCTAAAGTTTTAATTACACATGCAAAAAGGTTAATCAAGTTTTTCACTACATCTAAATAAAATAAACATTTTATAGATGCACAAAAAAAATTCTGAAGAAAATCCAGAAGAGGAAAGTGATTTATAAATGGTTTTTTATAAAGCAATTACAGGTGTTGAAACATGTTGGTCAAGCACATTTATAGCATGAGAAAGATTAATAATTCTAAAATCTTATATTGAAATTATTATTTCTTCATTAAATATAAGTAAAAATTATAATATCAAAGAAGATGCAAAAAGGCTAAAAAAAATTAATTTTACTAGTGATAAATGGAATGCTATAAAAGATTTACTTGAAATCTTAAAACCTTTTGTAGAATTAACAGAAAAATTGGAAGGTACAAAATATGCAACAATAAGTTATATATATTTAAGTATTACTAAACTCAAAAAAATCTTTTGTCCAACCAAAAAATTTTATAATAGTAATGTAGATTTAAAAACAAATGATAATGCATTTGAAAAACATCAATTTGAAGAAGTTAACAAAGATAATGAACCTGAAGCTAGACAAAAAATTTAAATAAATACTTCTAATAATACCTTTGGTCTTTAAATAAAATTAAAGTAGATCTTTATAAAGCATTTGAATATTATTATAAAGTAATTGAAAAGGAGGCTTTAATTGCAGCTTTATTAGATCTGTGTAAATAAATTAAAATTTGTAACTAATGATCAAAAAGAATTAGCAAAAACTAGCCTTTATAAAATATACAAGTTAGCAAAAAATAATATTAATTTTTAACAAGAATTATATATGATGCAAATGGCTTAGTTACATTCAAGGATTTTTAATGATTTCAAAATATAAAGAAATTTTATTTAAATATACAACCATTAAAAAAAATATGTAATTTAATAGTTTTTGATATGATCTACAAAACTACATATTTTTTTTTGTCTATTTTATTATAAAAATATTTTTTAATTAGAATTTTTTTAACGCTAATTTTAATAGTATTAGAGAAATTTTTAGCATCACTAGTATCAAGTAAAAGAATATTATTGGTGTATATTACTCACATAACCATATTTTATTG